AACAACCATCTCATTTCGTGGCATAATATAACTTTAAATAATATTTTGGTTGCCTAGTAGCTGGCTAGTATATTTCCGGAGCGATGCCCATCCGTTGCTGGTAGCTCAGCTGGTATGTAACGGTCGAGTTTATTTTCTTTTATGTATTGCAGCACAGTAGCTAAGGTGTTTTATACCTTTAACTAACGTGTATAATGATGGTGATGAGGTATCCAAAGTGTGTGCATGTGCGGACTATTGGCCTATTTATCTTAAAGCGCAAACGTCGAACGCCGCAAAGGAAAGAGACAGCGTGGACTTGTAAGCGCCCTTGACGATCGGCGTCCAATGAGTGATGCAGAAGATAGCTGCAGATGATGTGGCCCTGTTGGCATTGCGATTGCTGTCAAGTAAGCTGAGCACTATAGTTGGAAGGTTAGTAATGGGGTTGGGAGTGGAGTAAGAGAAACCGGTGGAAACGAAAGGAGGGGCGCGCCAGCAGTAGCATATTTTCGGTTATCCGCCCGGCTGTATGCAGTAGATAAGGCGACAATTGATAAATTGCGCGACGGCCGATGCAGGATGTAGTTGAAGATTGCAGAAATAGTCATGCTTGTAGGTGGGTCGAGATACTACTACGGCGCCCAGACCTAGACAGGAGGATGATTAAGGCCCTCAAAGCAAGTCTTTGGCTCACAATCCTCTCCCTAAGGCAGCGGGGAGGTGGCAATGCATAGCTTTTGCAGAAATGGACGCCGTCTCATTTCCAGCTCCCAACCTGGAGACCTAGGAGACTGAGTTTGTCTGACCTCTCACCATTAACCCACCTGCTAGGAGTAGCTATCAAATGGCCGGGGGCACCACACAGTATGACACAATGGGTTAAAGAGGTACGCAAACCGTTGCGCCACATTGAGTGCCAGCGTAAAAGTAACTGGTGAGACGGGTCGAAGTGACAGTATATCGACGATTGTCTTCTCAAGGTGCCGATGATGCTCGCAAAGCGGATTCAGAGTCTAGAATTTTTCAAAAGCAGACTACTCACTGAATTGAAGAGGATACTGGATCGATCTTTGTCCTTACAATTTAGTTAGCTAGGAAAGGAATACGGGTAAACTAATATAAAGGATTATCAAGTCAAGCAATCCTTCATTTCAGTGCGCTTAAACCCTATCAGTGAATAAGTTACTTGTAACCTGTCCCAGCCCAGCCAGGATTGTGTCTTCGCATATGGAAAGAGCACAGGTGCTCCGGGAGGCAGAAGCGATTCACTAACTAGCGGGGTGGTTAGTCGCCAGTTTATCATCCAAGTAATGTGTCAGCTGTACTCGGTAACCACGCTTCGCTGCCGCACGACCACCAACAGTCTCGCGCGGACTGAGTATACCGAGAGGACGCTCACCCCTACGCGGATTCGAACCGGGGACCTTATGGTTGCAAACCAGGCGCGCAGACCACTTGGCCACCGGTCGAGTACCATCACAAGATTGAGACGTTTACAGCCAAAACTCTTCGTCATATAAAGGACAAGATATAAGACAGATTGTAAGACCCTTCTTCATGCACAGATACTACTGTTTCCCATACATGTGTCCAGATTGCAACCGGTTAGGTTTACAGGCGAACAGTCAAAAGTTTCTTCGCTGAGAAGAAAGCACCCAATGAAATGAAGGTGATTGATAAGATATCCACACACGTTAAGTCTGGAAGTTTATATGATCAAATCAGTGATATACAAAAAATCAGTTGGAAATACGGGATAACTAAAGGTAAACGTGTTTGGCATGTCACGTTAGATCAAAGGCTTTGCTATGGGATGAAAGCGAGAGCTGCAAGTGATGAACCACCTGACAGAGTTGCAATTGCATATAGGAAGTGGTATGGTGGTGAGGAAAACCACTTATATAGCGAGAACGGTGTCGCTTCTCGAAGTTGGACGAAGTCTCATAGTGGAAATACAATGCATAGCGATATCTTGGTGAAGAAGCAAGCGACACCGAAATGCAAAATCTTCAGGTTGCAGGTGTACTTCTTGTCACAATATTAGCAGTTCAATTCGATGGAGGCGGAGAAATCAAACATTTGGAGACCACCGATTTTGCACAAATTATGTACTTCACTGTACCCACAAGGTGACTGGGGCGATTCGGAGGACACCGTGAAAGTATCTAGTCATGAAGCAGTGGAATTGATAGTACTTGGGGAGGGATGCTCATACGCTCGGTAGACGTGGACTCACTTTTCACGAACGTGTCACTGTGAGAAACCTCGGACGGGTTGCATTATGTCTGTGGATCTTTCCCTGGAATATCTGAGAGATCTGACTCCGTTGGGCTCAGAAAATATAAGTTTCGTGTGATGCACAAACATAGTAATAACGTGACTGAGTGTAGTTCACTGTAGCCCGTTTTGAAGCGTCTCTACCTCGGTATGATCTAAAAAGTTACCGGCATCAGCGAAGCCAAGTGGCAAAAGAGTAACGGTGAGGACGTTCGAGGCTTTAATAATGGCGAACATTTTACTGGTCTCCTTACTCGTCTGAACACTATTAATCCCCGGCTTTTTGTATCACAAATAAAGGAGCAAGATAGCCTACATGTTAGTTATGCTCATTGGGAAGCAAACACGATACACTTCAACACGCCCTCCACTGCCATGCCTGCTAGGGTGGGTAATACCCATATATTCCAACTTCCATGCACTGTACACATACGTGAGCTCATGAAACCTGCACTCCATTGGGCCAGCTGAAATTGTGTGTCTGATGGGATAATGATGCAGTAACGTTTCTGCACAAGAACATCTTCAATGGGGAAGCAGAGAACTTCCCCAAGTCCCCTGCAGACAACAAGGATCGTGTTACAAACGATATGCGGAGCAGGCGGGGAACTGCTGTAACTGCGCACCTACACGTTTGCCAAGTGTTAACTCATTGACACCATGATAATGCAGTTCCCGTAGCCATGTATTAGCTGACTACGTAGGTGGCCATCGAGCGTTATCCATTAGCTCACCTGCAAATGCAGTGAAGTGTACTTAGACAGGGAAGCGGATTAATCCCCAAAGTGGTTAATGGAGTTACTGTTGCAACCTGATTGGATGGATCATTCGATGAAATGGAACACCGACTCATCTGTCATCAGGCGCTTTACGATGACTAGTTGCCACGTGGACACAACTTATTCACGGTGCAACTGTGCAACGGTAATCCGAAACTTCTTGTAATTTCGGCGGGAGCGTCTGATGATGTGGGGAACAGAAACAACTGGGGTGAGCAAGTACGTTGCCTGGGTCTTGACTACTTAATGTATGTTGGTTGCCATACGCGCTCATCTGTTTTCCATGCATCGGAAACAGTTAACCGTGATGTTTGTGTACACGTTGTGTTTTCTCTGACAGTGTGATATTCTAAGCTAGACCTTTTTCTTCTTGGGGTTTCTCCTTGAGTCAACACAACTTTGGGGAGTAGTCCCTTGTATTTTTCCGGGTCGGCGAGGGAGTACCTAGCAAAACTGCTTACAGTGTTATCCACTCAGGGTAGGCAGTTTTAGCTCTATATGATGGGACAGTTATGAGTTCACTAACTACGGAATTCAGAGTGCATGTGAAGCAAATGGGAGCTCACCTGAAGAACCTTGTATTCTCTCACATATCACTTTTCGAAGCAAATGCAGCCACTTTGCCATCCGTACCAAGTAGTCAACGTGATTTCAGCAATCGTACCAAAGAATATATCTTTTATGACGCAACAATTATGTGCGTCCCTCAAAGGTCTGTATTCGCTCACTGAAACAGTCGAGGTTATCACAAGAAGAGACGCTTTCATCGACAATTGCGGTCATAACTGTACCCCATCAGAGCCATGTCCAACTATAGCAATATTGCAGGCGGAACTAATTTTGTATACACTGTTGGTGTAGTATACTTGCAGGTTGCAGCGCTACGTCTGGCATCCAAAAATTCGCAGCTGCTGTTATGGAAATGATACAGTTTCCTCAGTCGCGTTGTTTCCTGTCGCTAGCGTTTAAGTCCTGCAACCTTTTCAAAGTATTGAGAATACCTAACAGACCAAACATTGTGGCTCGGATCTCCAAACGTCCATTGGAGTAATCCTGTGACGCAGACGTTTCGGCATGTCTGTCTAGTCGTTAGATTGACATCCATTGTAAAAGCATGAGATAAAAAGGCTAATTCATCGGTTACTATAGACTGAAAATTCACAGTGTAAAAGCGTGTACCTTAGCTATGAAAGGAATGTGCCTGCCGAGCCAAACACTATCGATTATCGACCCACTGATCCATTGAGTTTCACACAAATGCGTATTTTGAACCGTCTCACTAGCTTTTACCAATGCGAAAAGTCGCTGTGTGCACCTTTCGCTACTATTGACAGATATTCTCCGGAGCAGTAAATTAGGTTGCTTTCCATTCAACGTCCACTTTAGGCCAGATTATAAGATTGTATTCTTCGCCAACAACAGGAGTTCATGATAGCTATCGCCTATGATATAGTTAGCGCATTTGTGCACCAGCGCAATGACATACCTGGTGCTCTTCATTGTTTCCATGTAGCGGCCGCAACGTGTCACATCCCACCGGCTTACAGTGCCCAAAGGAACACACCTTTGGAGTACTTTCCAAAGCCAGCCATGTCATATTTGCCAGAAATACAAGACTTCTGTTCATCTCATTCAACCAACTGGTGACAAGCGCCATCATGTAACAATTCGCTATTTAACTTATACAAACAAACACTATGACCACACATGGCGGTTATTCGGAAGTGAGATTAGGATGCAACACTGAAGAGTCCATGTCTTTCAAACCCCACTTTTACGCATAGCGCTTCATTTGTGACCATGGTGACCTAGCTTGAGACTGCGCAGCTTGAGCAAAATGAGTGCAGAACGTGTGCGACTAAAAGCTACAAAAAATTAGGTACGGAACTTAGTGTATGCGACATGTCACGTGGGGGATATATATGGAAGTTACATGCTGAGGTAAAGTAAGCATGAGCATACCGTCTGCTTTATCTTTCACCGCGAATCCAGCTTCCCGCCGAAGCACGTAGACCAAACGTACTCTGACCAGATCATAAACGCCCGAAAGACTGCCGATGGGCGCACCCACGCTGCTCCATCCCTCTTCGCCAAACTCATAGGACTCAGGAGTGCGTAGCCAAGTGAAGAACAAGTGCCAACCGGCAAGAGTATTTTTATCCATGGATCCATTCGATAAAGGAATGGAGAAGCAACGAATATTCTTTGTGCAACAGGCGCCAGTAGTTGTCAAGAATCGATGAACCTCGGGTTGCTTGTCCGCATTTAGCGGGTTTTCACCAGTATCGGGGATAACGGATGCTTCCAGCTCCAAATCGGACGCATCTTCTACGTGTGGTTGTTGCTGTTGTACGATTGGTGATTTCAAGTTCAAGCCAATGGTATGGCACTCACTCTGAATTAAAAGTAACCGGTCAAGCAGTCGGACACGTGTTTGATAAAATTTATTCGGCTTAACGAGAATTATGAGAGAAGACATAAAAAGTAAGATGTGGCGAACGAGCTCGTTTTGAGTGCTTCATCTTCAGGTTATTACACCACGATATCATGGGTTAGCCAAAACACTAATCAAATGCAGTGACGAAAGAAAAGGATCTAAATTTCCGATCGATATAACTAAATGTTTGGTTTAGTCAAGGTCAAATCGGGTGATGTAACGTGACCATTATCGTTAGTCGAGGCGAGTTGTAGCCAGTGCAGCTGAATGGACCGTACGAGTTTCTTTTGTGCACATAGCTCCGGATTTCGGAGTCGGATAGAGATTGCCACTGCTTGTAGCCAGTAGACGGCATCTGACAGTTCGAGTGTAGTGCCCGGGTATCCGGTAGATGGGCTGAAATGCTTCTTGCATTTTGACCTGGTGGTTTGTATTAATCAGATGCGACAATACGGCACTTGTTATCGTTCTTCTTATACCGCTAATGAGCAGGCAGGGCAAAGCTTTTGAACTCTTTTGGACAGACTCCTGGTAGTTTTCCCAATATATCTTGCTCGACACGAACAACAGACGTCGTACACACAAAAGGAAATCCCAGACCGTGGCACTCTATCCTTGGGCTGCTGGCTCACAATCGGTCTTGTAGTGTAACTTACTTGTAATTCGGCCACGGGGAACATTTTAGTGGTAACATTTGACAACTTTTGGACTGTTCTTTCTGCTATAACGTCACTTATGAATGGGAACGTAAGGTAGACTGGCCGCTTTTCAGCGGAAACCTGTTTCACTTTTGGTGTTTGTACTTCCATGTGCCGGCGGATGAACTTATCTGGATATCCATTTTGCTGAAACACGCTCCGAATGAAACGTAGTTCTTCGGAAAGCGTGTCTAACGTACATATTCTTCTCGCTTTCACCGTTAAACAATGGATGAGGTTTCCTTTCTGGCTTATTGGAACAAAACTAGCGAAATGGATGTGTTGTTCGTTCTGTGTTGCTTTTCTGTGAAATCTCCTTTGTATTGCACCCACCACTATCCTATTAAACTGGAGATCTAAATGCGCCATACAATCATTGGACTTATGCTCGATGGCAAAAGTTATGTTGTCATGTGCACCGATGAGATTGTGTAACAGAGTTTCAGTGCGTGCCTGACTGTTTGCGACACTAAATATGTCGTCTACGTAGTGACCGTAGTATGCCAAGTTGCTGATGGATTCATTCAGCTGCTTATGCGCCAGCTGACTCTCACATTCAGCTGATGTTGGATGAGAGAGCTGCTTATCTAACGCACCACACTGTCGGATTTCATTATTTCAAAGCTTGGGAAGGAGAATGTGGTGGTCCAGGCGATCGGACGCTTCTGGTAAGTGCTGGTACTGTACATGTGAGACAGTGCCGCCAGCAGTACAGAAGGTCCGACTGAAGAGAGGTCAACTACTGATAACTCTATGCGATATTTTTAACACACTAATTCCAGTTCCTTTGTGCACGTAAGAGTAAAACTACTGCACGCTGAAAACAGCGTCACACCTATTCACATTATATGCACACATCTTGTTAATTGTCAGCTTCTTTCAAAACGCACTTACTTTATCTCCGATGTAGCTACGAAGTCATGTGTATGTTCTGACCCTTGTTTGTGTCACGTGCAAGCTTATTATTGACAGGTATGAAGCCGATGTAAAAAAACGTAGTAAAAATACACAGTCGTATATCTGAAAACCGGTTACAGCACTAAGATAAAAGCAGGACATACAAAAAATGTTCATGTTGAAGTGCTAGCGGACTGTGAGGCAGTCACATCAGCTTCAGTGATTAATTCTGGCTTCAACCTTCGAACGAGAGCCAGAGGTTAGCAAAATTCACATAGTTTCAATATGACAGAAAATCGATACCCGTATTAGAACTGGTCAAACCTAAGTACTGTAGTGATATTTGTTTTTCGTACAAGCACAGGACAACCGCTTGCCTGCTGTACTTGAAGTTTCCTAACCTCCTTTCCCACGAAACACCGCTCTGGGAGCTTGTGTCGCTTGGTCATCACTGGTGTCCTCATATTTCGAAACCAAAAGCTAGTTGTCTGCCTCTTAGTGAAAAAATTTCCTTTAGTTATTCCTCATGAAAACATTATAGAAGACAAGTACGTTGAACAACACCTCTGAAGAACTACGTTTAGTGAACAGGGAGATGCTAAAGGCGTTTGTCGCTCGACATAACCGTTTAAAATACAGTGTCACTATATACGAGTTCAACAGCTGTATAGGAGAGTCCAGAAGCAAACTACCTTGCCTGCTTCGGCGGAATAGTACACGTGTAAATATCCTCTGAATTCGAAAATAGTGCAAATTTTGTCCAAAGCCTCATCGCATGTAGAAACGATTCGAGTTAGTGGGACCGGGTTGACGAATACTCGATGATCCGGGGATTCATTTGCGACGTCGCATGCGCTGCTGTTCTGTCTGACACGTGTTAACCTGTGAGGACGTTTAGATCCGGTAACGAGTGCCGGAGCTGTGGATGCGAAAGAAAGAACAACCCATCAGGTGATCTCCAAAAACGGATGGAAATTTCGAGAGCTCAAAAAAAATGCAAATGAGCATTGTCACAGACAGAGGCAGTTCGGTAGCTGACAATTGCTCTAGCTGCTACAGCAGCGAAATTATGAATGGAATTACCAGTGAGTTGCTACATTCGAGCTTAGTAGATCTACACATTTATTAAAACAAAGAAATAATTCATCTTTCATAAAGCGTGATCAAACGTACGATTTTCTCGAACAATGAACAGTGCGTTATAAAGGAAAGCGAGTGCAAGACAAGCCACGTAGATTGACCGAAGTGTGGATCACAAAAGAAAACGAAGGGAATGACAGAAAAATGGAAAAAGTACGGTTTTTGGTAACTTACCAAGCCATTCACATGACCACGGATGTAGGCTTCCCGACCGCTGTGTCACGGAAAGGGCTCGTGAGCACATAGGTAGCTTCGTGATAATTCGTCCCCTGAGTGAAATCGACTATATCATGTAATGCAAATACGATAGCGTGTCTACAAAGCGCTTTTGAAATGCGTAAATCTTAGCGTAACAGTAATGTCACCTGGAAAAGTGCTCCTTGTTCGGTCACCCGATGGGGGAAAGCATTTGTCGGCAATCAAGTCGATTGTAGCGCGTGTTCAGTTTGAGCTGATCGTCTCTCGGATTATTATTATTATGGCTAAGTTGTAACAGAGCGCGACAGGCGTGATTTGGGTCCGCCAGTGTTGGGTAACCCGTGCTGAGCTCCTGTCACGGATGCTGTTAATCACAGCTGTACAATCCCAGGGCTTTCAGGCTGCGTTGGTACGGAAAGTGAAAGAAATATCCAAAGAATTTGGTCGCTCTACGTTGTGGATCTTCAATCGCATCAAGATCGAATCTGCCCTAGGGACGGCGCGCTAGGAGCCTCATGTAGATATACAGCAGTTGCGGAAAAATAGATAGCTCGAACTACCCGAACGCCCTCTGTAGGAGGCCAAGTTGGTAGCTGGCTATTTTTGACGCCTCTTCGACTTGTTTTGAGCAATTGAGGTCAAGCTGCACCATTATTTAGGGATTGCTTTACTGAGAAACACGTTGCAATAGCTGGACACAAAGTCAATCTACATGGGTCCGCTGCTGGGGTGTGCTCAAAACTTTGCAGTTCGCCACGTTGAAATGCAGCTGATTTTTGGATGATCACTAGGAGGCCTTACCTAAATCGCTATGTAGTGCCTTATAAACATCCACTGCTTCGAGGCCATGCCAGATCTTCATACCATCTGTAAAAAGCAAGGAATTCGACTGGCATACACCAGCAAGATTGCTGATGTAGAAATAAACGTGGTCCTATTATCAATCCTTGGAACGCACCACACTGGACTTCAACTGGATCAGTAATGGTGTTGCTGATTCACATTCAGCTGAAGTTGAATGAGGGAGTTGCTTATCCAACCTACCACACTGTCACCAAATTCATTACTTCAAAGCTTGTGAAGGAGAGGGTTGTGGTCCAGGCGATCGAACGCTTTTGGTGAGTCAAGGTAGACGACGTCGACTCTCACTCTGGCATCTGTTGATTTCGTCCAGCTTTCTCGGGCTAACAGCAATTTTGTAGTACAGGACCGAGTTCGGCAGCATCCGTGCTGCTGTGACACTATGATCTGGTTACTCTCAAGGTATCGCGTGAGCTCCTCTACGTTAATACCTTCCATTACTTTGGATAGCACCGGGTGGAAAGTTATTGGACAGAGTTTTAGGGCTCCACACGGTGGCCACCCTTGTAAATAGGAATGACTATTCCATGTCCCCTCATTGTGGAAACCTGCATCACATTAAGCCCTCGTTTAAATAACTGAGCCAAAGATCCGTTGATTTTCGCTACTGTTGTCTTTAAGGCGTTCGGTCTTATGTTGTCCACAGCGGGAGCGCTGTGCAAGCGCATCCCATTCGATGCAGTGAAGAACACGTGGCCTAACACTGAGGGGGAGGAGGGTGGCGTGAGCTGTTTCAAAAGTGTGTGGGATGACGATTCACTCTGAAACTCACGAGCAACCTGTTACTCAAGCGCGTTGGCCGCCTCCTGTGTAGGTAGCGCCAGACAATCTGCTGCAGCCTGAATTGGGATTCCGTTCTCCTCTACGGAGTCTACTGTTATGCCTGTAGGATTAGGATTAGTACCGAATCTTTTCGCCAAGTTCTGTTGGCGCTGGAGCTGATCTTCACGGACCGACTTGACACCGTCGTTCCGTTAAGTTGCGTAAAAGGAACCCAGACCTGATGGGCTTTATAAGCGCACCAGGCTGAACACCATAAGTTCATGCATGTAGGAGTCCCCCTCCTCAGGAAAGACTATGTTTGTTTCGGGCGAAAGACAGGTTTCTGACGCCTTCGCCACTAGCCCAGTGAACTGAGGGGCAAATGAAAATAAACACTGATTTAGCGCGCGTAAAAAGATGCTTCTTTCTAAGTCCAGTAGGATGGTTTGGTGAAAACTGAAAAGTCAACGGAATCAATAACCATCCGTGTATGCGTACACCGAGTTAAGTGCACCATCGCATAACCATGGTGTGAAATGGGTATTCAGTATGCGCACACAGCAAAATTGAAAATGAAAACGCGCACTCATGTGCCGCTTCCTTGAATCGATGCGATAAGTAA